CTGGCTCCTGCTTTCACCCAAGTCAGATTATTGATCCATACAGCCAAATGTATCTTCCATGGCAAGCGTTTCAGAGAAATGTAGAAGACTGTTCTGAGGCTTCCCAAGAGCATGAAGCAAACGCCTTGTCCTGACAAAAAGCCCTTTTATTAATTTACTGTGAATTCTGCTCATCCACATTCACATCCAGCAAAGTCTTTCAAGGGAGAATTTACAGTCACCGAACTTATCTGGCTTAGAGAGCTGACAGGCCGATATCTGCAAAACGTGGCAAGGAGCCTCGGAGAGTCACAAACCAATTAAACGAACCAATTGTTTCCTGCAAATTCCACTCCCCTTTCGCTCTCCTCTTTTATTTCCTCTGGGAGGGGCCACTCATCATCCACCTGTGGCCTTACTCCCAAGTTGACCCCTGTTCTTTAGCTGTTCCCTGGCAACTCTGCGCATGCGTCCACTGGGAACAGGCTCCAGCTGTTCGTCTGCATTACTGATGTCTGACTCTGAAGGCAGATGATAACTGGCATACAGCTTTGACCCCCTCTCTGCCTCCGACACAGAGCCTTCATCAGAGCCTTCCCCAGACTCCAGGACTAGACCATGTTTCTCCCCAGCCTCCTCACAGTTTGAATCTTCTGCCAGTTGGCTGGCCACTGGCGGGCCACAACAAAGGTATTGTCCTCTTTATAATGTGTTTCTGTAGCTCATAAATTAGGTTAGAAATTACAGTAGATTAATTTGAAAGGAAGTGTTTTCATCCAAAACTCCTGCGCTTCATGTCTATCAGTGATGCTATCCTCCTCCTCACTTGATATTGTTCCACCACAGCATGCATTTTCTTACAAAATTCTCTAACTTTTTCCCTTGTCCCAGTCATGCTCCCACCCTTACCCATCAAAGAAATCTTAAATCATCATTAATTTAACAATGGGAGTGAGTTTCAAGAGGTGTTCCACAACTGGAAATAATGTGGTTGAGAAGACTGCTGGTGAGCAAACTGGTTATAAAGTTTCTTGCTTCTTTTATCAGATTAAGCAGATCTTATTTCCAGAAATAATAAGCAGCTTGTTCAAAGCAGTGTGGTTTTTGAAGCACTGTATTTTGAAAAGTTTAATGTCCTCTTTGAGTGCTTTGCTATAACTGCAACATTTAACTATGCAGCTATTTTAGAGATTCTGGCATATGATACTATGCCAACATACAACGCTGATACTGTAAGTATTATTTCTATGTTTTTCACTAAACCTGCCCTGCAGGGAAGGTGAGAAAGCTACTGCCTTATGTGAAAAGCATGCAGATTGTTGGCTGTCAGCCTGCCCTTTAAAAGAGTTACTTTAAAATTGAAGGGTAAAATACAAATAAATAAATTGATTCTGAAGACAGATTAATTGCTAGAGTTGTCCTAAGGTACTTTGTTGCTCAAGGTGGAACAGCAAATGTTCTCTTCATATAGTTGTGTAAAAAAAAAAAAGCACCCTACCCAGAAAAGATCACAGATCATTCTCTGGGAGGAAAAAAAAATACCAGAAAGAGAAAATGAATATCTAGCTATTTTTTGTGATGCACCTTGAAGTAACTTTTCATTTTATCTAATGATAGAAGCATTGCCACATGGTTCTAAGGATTTTCTTTAGTCTTCTGCCTTCCTCCTGCCAATTACCTCCCTTCGACCTATTAGATCGCACAGATTGGGCCTCCTCCGAGTTCCATCCACCAGTTAGTGCCAACTGGCGACTACGCGGAGGAGAGCCTTCTCAGTAGCANTTTAACAAAATGATTTGAATTATCTGACTCTCTGCCAAGCATCCCTGCACAGGATTCATCTCGTATAACCTAGAACATACCACATAGTTACTTTTTTAAAAAAAAGTTTATCGCTCCAAGATAATAGGACTTTGTGGTTGGTTTACAATCAGATCCTCTCCTGCAACAATACTGAGAAAAGCAAGAACATGCTATGGCAAGATATTTTAAAGGGCTTCCTGGGTTTGCATATGTGTGTTTATTGTGGGAGATACTTTTGACTCAAAGGGACGCTGTGGCTCAGTGGCTAAGATGCTGAGCTTGTCGATCAGAAAGCTTGGCAGTTCAGCAGTTCGAAACCCTGTCTTTTCAACTCATCCTCAAAAATCACCCAACACTTGTTAGAGGGTTTAAGGTAGCCAGGTTTTCTCATTACGGCTGAACTGAATGTGATCAGGGGAGCTCTCAGATTAACAAATAGTTCTTGGAATGAACTAGGGTCCGGCTTTCTTTCAACAGACCTGAGTTTAATGGTGCCAAGTTTTCTAGATGTTAACAATATACCATACTGCAACTGGTCAAGCAACAGGAAACAGAAGTTTCTGATCATTTATCATGTGCAGAGCAGTGAAGGATGGTTCCTTTTTGTATCTGAATGGCCAGCCTTGGCAAAAGATCCTAAACTGCATGAGCTATGAGAAGTAGAAAGCTTTCCTACTTTCTAAAGGAATGCATGCTCTCTGTGAACAAAAAAGATCTTCGTGGTAACTTTCTACTTTACAGCTGAGCTTGCAAACAATAGCAGAAGGCAATGCAGTTAGTCCCTAAATCTTAAGAGAATAAATGATCTCTCTCCCCCCCCTTTCTCTCTACCACCCCTCCCCTTAATACTCTGCTAGGCAGAGCTTCCATTCACAAGGACATAGGAGGGAGCCCATTGAGAGCCTTCATTGTTGCTGCCTTCTTTCAGGGATGCAATTCATGACCTCATCCTGTGACCTACAGGCACTTAAGGGCAAGTTAAAGGAGGGGTGAAAGAGCCTGGACTGGTAACCAAATGCAATAGAGCTCTTGTCCCTTTTAAAAATGAGGAAGAAGGGGGATTTTAGCAGGTTTTCACAGTACACTCTTGCAGTACTAAAATGCTAAGCTGCACCTGCTAACCTCCCCTTTATTTATGGGCTTACTCAGAACTAGCAGAGTCAAGTGATTAAGGAACTGAGCCCTGAAGCAACAAGGACTCATTTTCAAAGGTTAACTTTGCCATAGACTTACTAAGTAGTCTGGTTTGAATGGTGCCTCTCTCAACCCCCATTTTCTGCAATAGGAAACTCAAAGTAGCACAAAAATGTTGGTTGAGGTGATGTCTAAAGAGCCAGAGATACTGCGTTGACCCAGAGAAAGTCCATATACCTTAATTAAAACAACTGAAGACTTATAAAATAGTTACTATTTTAGTAGCTTAGTGTCAGTCATGGGTCTACAAGCAGGGGAAGAGGAAATATGTATGCCCAGGTTCATTCCCACAGCACTAAGCAGTAGTTTAGTATTATATCTGAATGTGTAGTTTTGGTGGTTTGTGGTATGGCAATGGGAGGTCTTCAGATCAAGAACTCACATGCTTTGACAGATTATAGATCTTATACCCAGTATTTTAAACAGACATCTTAGCTCAGATATGGCCATCTTAAGCTATATGGATAGCCAAGCATAATAGTCAGGACAGATAGGTCCCAGAACCACAGAGAGTCCAAGCTAATTTGGAAAATTCTGGTGTTGGAAGGACATAATGTTTCAATTTCAGATACCAAGAACACGTAGTAAAGCACATTTTTGTCCTATAGACAAGTCTATCCTTGGGGTGTAGCCATTTTTCAGACCCCAAATTAAAGGCTTGCAGGGTCGTAAAAAGGGAGTTTATTGTTGTATATGTCTGCATAATAAAACTGAGATAATATCTACTTGCAAGAAAGGTTTTCTTAAATAACCCCACTTAATAAGTGCTAAAAAATGGGTGCATTAAACTGAACATCGTATAACTCTTGGGTGCAGAGCTTATCTAACTGAAACGAAAAAGTGTTCATTATCTAATTGGTGTAACGCTACTATCTAATCTTAATTGTAATTTAGATTTCATGTTCCTTTTGCAGGTGCATCGATCAAAAGTTCAAACGCTGCCCACCCCTTCCGACTACCAGTGTCATTATTGTCTTCCATAATGAAGCTTGGTCCACGTTGCTTCGCACTGTCTATAGTGTGCTGTATTCTTCTCCAGCTGTACTGTTAAAGGAAATCATTCTTGTAGATGATGCCAGTACAGATGGCAAGTATAATCCTTTTGAAAGTGTGTGCGCTTGTGTATTGTTCCTGAAAGGCGATGAACTATCCTGTATGTATGAAATATTTTAAGACTTTTGGATCTTAATATCCTATTTGCCTTAAGAACTACATTACTCAGTGCCTGCATTTTATATCTAGGGATAGGACAGCTAGTGCTCCTTTCTCTGTTGGAGGGATCCAGTCTAACTAGTTTAAAGTTGAGGACTATATAAAGCCATAGCAAAGAAGGTCCTAGGAATTTGCCATCTACAATGAGCACCTGAACATCAGACTATGGGCGTTCATTCTCTTCATCAACTTTGCCTCCCATGCTACAATGCATGAAGAGAAACAGATTCAAAGTCAAAGTTCAGACCTAAGTCCAAAAATATTGCCAGTCCCGAAAGAAGCTGTTTATACTGGAATACCTTGAATTAGTTTTCTCTTAAGGAATGGTAAGAAAAATCCCTACCGCTCAATATGAGAAATTGATCACCAGTTAGCTTTTGGTTGCAGTTACTGAGCTAAAGTTAGTGCAGCCGGTCATTCAATCTAAGGAAGCAATTACATATTTTTTCATGCTGCCATGTCACATGTTGTTTGACTTTCTTTATACAATGAATGAAGCAAGCGCCACATTTTGGTGTTACTCATTAACTCAGACTCAAGAACTTGTGTGAGTATAATATCCTGCAGCAAAGATATACAAAAATTTAGAAAACCCAAATACCTTTCCACAGAACTGTATTTAGCTTCTGTCCAAACTACTCAGCTGGGCAAGTTTAGAAACCGCAAGCTGTATTTAGCAATCTAAATTGGTTATACTTCAGATTAACATAATGACATGGTTCAACATCATGACTTGTATATTGTGCCCCAGCCTGCTTTCCTTTCTCTCTACTACTCAAGGTTTTCAAACAGCCAGTAAAGATTCTACAGTGAAAGATTTCCTGAGTTTTTTTTTTTAACATACCAATGAGTTACAAGTTTTGATACCAGTTTGTGCATACTATCTTACATGTTGACCCATTGAATTGAATTGA